AATAAATATCTTTAAAAAAACAAAAACAAAAGGGGAGCATCTACATTATTGCTTGCAAAATAAAAGGGAGGGGGGAATGCATATACCTAGGAGAAAGGCACTAGAAAAGGTCTGCCGATTTTCCCGCAAGCTTATAAAAAGAAATTTTGTTTTTTTTTAAAATAATTTTTATTGCATTTTTTCAGACATAGACAGAAGAAAAAGAAAAAAGAGAAAAAGACAAAAAAAAAGATAAAAAGAGTCATAACCCTTCAACAGCTTATTTCAACTTTCTATCGAACTTCCCCGCATCTTCCGCCACAATGCATCTTAACAATAAATTTATCAGCAAATTATAACCTGTTTCATGTGTTTCTTTTGTACTTTCAATTACAGTTTAAGTTTAAATCCCTTATTGTCCATTCACTCTGAAAACAAAGCATATTATCGTTTTTAACATTTAAACTTTGATTCTTTCAATAATGTTATCCAATTTCATAAATGTTACACTCTCATTGCTGGGGCTAGCATTTCAAATTATGCGTCATTTTATAGTTCATATAACTTATAATATTTTTGCAGATAGTTCTTAAATTTTTTCCAGTCCTCCTCCATTGCTTCTTCTCCCAGGTCTCGGATTCTGGCAGTCATTTCGGCAACTCCATGTAGTCAATCAGTTGCGTTTGCCACTCTTCCAGTGTGGGCAAATCTTGAGTCTTCCAATATTTGGCGATCAGAATTCTTGCTGCTGTGGTAGCATACATAAAAAACGTTCTATCCTTCTTTAAACACCTTTTGGCCGACAATACCCAGAGGAAGGCCTCCGGTTTTTTAGGGAAGGTGTACTTAAACACCTTTTTTAACTCGTTATAGATCATTTCCCAGAAGGCCTTCACTCTTGGGCAAGTCCACCAAAGGTGAAAAAATGTTCCTTCAGCCTCCTTGCACTTCCAACATTTGTTATCAGACCAATGGTAATATCTTAGCAAGCTTGACTGGGGTCATGTACCACCTGTATATCATTTTCATAATGTTTTCTTTCAAGGCATTACATGCCGTAAATTTCATACCGGGTGGTCCATAACCTTTCCCAGTCTTCAAACATGATATTGTAACCAATGTCTTGAGCCCACTTTATCCATGGAATGAGTTCTGACATCCTTAAAGCTGTTGGCCCTGACATTTATTTTTTATTTTTTTAATATATATTTTTATAAGTTTTCCAATATAAAACTATACAAAAACAAAACATCCAATTTATCACCAACATCTTTTTTTTTACTTCCATCAAAATGTCTGAAAATTCTCCATCTTGATCACTTCTTGCACATTTCTTAATTTAATATTGCACTACAATAATATCTTAATTTACCTTATTTTTTAAACAATATTCTACCATACATTCTCACAGAGCTTCCTGAAAGCTTACAAATGTTATCTTGTCATCACATATAGTTTTCATATAATCTGTAAATTTAATCCAGTCTTCAGTGAATCTCTGGTCTCGTCGGTTCCGGATCCTTCCTGTTAATTTATCAAGTTCTGCATATTCCATTAATTTCATTCTCCATTTTTCAATCATAGGTAATTCTTCTTGTTTTCATTTTTGGGCCATTAGTATTCTTGCTGCCGTTACTGCGTATAAAAATAACTTCCATTCTGTCTTATTAATTTCATTTCCTATTATTCCTAATAGAAATGCTTCTGGTTTCTTAACAAGTGTATATTTCAACATCTTTTGTAACTCATTAGATATCCTTTCCCAAAAGCATTTCACTTTTTTACACTCCCACCACATATGGTAAAATGTTCCTTCTTTTTCTTTACACTTCCAACATTTATTACTTACTTTATACATTTTTGCTGATTTTATTGGTGTTACATACCATCTATATATCATTTTCATCACATTTCCTTTATTATAGTACACGCAGTAAATTTCAGTCCTTCATTCCACAATTTAACCCAGTCTTTAAATTGTATATTATATCCAAAATCTTTGGCCCAATGGATCATAACCGATTTAACCTCCTCGTCCTTTGTATACCATTCCAATAATAATTTATACATTTTAGACAATTTTTTTGCGTCATTATTCAATACTTCCAATTGATATTTTGATTCCTTGTCGGTAAAACCTCTTTCTAATACATCTTTTTTAAACATTTCATTAATGTTTTCGTCGCCTCCAAAGGAGGTTACCTGGCGGTCAGGGGAATCGCAAAACGGCTGTGCCGGGATCCTGCCCCCTGGATCTCCTTCCAGGGGTGTTTTAGGGGCTGCGGCGCCCTTGCAGCACCCCTTTTTCCTCCCAAGAGCTGGATTCCCTCTCCAGAGAGAAATCCCGCTTGTCTTCGCTCCCGTGATCAGCCGGAATTCTCTCTGACATTCATTTTTAAATCCTTCTCCCCATTCTCTCTTTTGAATCCTTGTTTCTTTTTCAGAGAAAGGATCTCTTTGCAGAAATGGACCAGATTTCTTCTGAGGCAGAGAGGCCTCCGCTGAGCACCAGAGAGAGGCCACTGGGTAAGGAGGAAGGTGGTGTTTCTCTGTTTGGTCTCATTCTGTTGGTTTTCCAACTCATCAGAGGAGGGAAGATATATTTTTTCACACATAACATCTCTAATGCACCCAAATATCCAAATGCACTCAGCAGGCGAGACTTTCTCAAAGGCCCCTCTGTAGTTGAGATGCACTGATTTACCTGCGAGACAAGAAGGCACTCTGGGCCTCCCCCTTACCTTTTTTCTCTTGCAGGTGACACAGTGATACTGGCTAGACCTCTTCAACCATCTCTGAATGGGGACAGAATGGAAGCAGCGGCTGTGGAACCAGATCAGGTCAGGGGAAGCAGCCTTGTGGGGACAGAGGCCAAAGGGTGGAACAATGTCCTAGCTCAAGGAGTGGTGGTGAACAACAGTGTTGTCTCAGAGGAAGACATTTCCCTTCTTCTTTTAGGGTCCAGTGTGCTTTGAAGATGTTGCTGTTTGTTTCACGGATGAGGAGTGGGCGTTGCTGGATCCTGACCAGAGAGCTCTGCATAAGGACGTCATGGAGGAGAATTCTGGGATCATGGCCTCTCTTGGTAAGGCTCCTAGTGGAATCATAATATCAGTTTTTAAATTCAAAACTCCATATGTCACGAACCTCATATATTTTCACAGACCTCAACAGCGCCCCCTACAACACTGGATATTACAGTATCCCCCCCAAAAAAAAACCCTTGAATGGTAAATTACTGTTTTTTCTGTGAATGTTCTTCCTCCCGTTGCAGCTTATTAAACAAGCAGCAGCCTGGTCTGAACTCCCCAGGCCCTTTTGACTGTAAACTTCAGAGTTGTTAGGGACGTTGAAGTAGCCTCTGTCAGGTTTTCCGTTTTTGTTTTTCCTCCCGTCAGTCTTTGGTTGTCCAAAGAGAAGACTGACATTGGAAACGGAGGGATGCCATGATGGAGCCAAACAAAATCGATTCAAGAGAAGAGCCAGGCTTATCGAATCACAGGTTCCCCAAAGGATGTCGGTTGATCCCCGTTAATTAATGCACCCAACCCTTCAGAAAACCATCCATCTAACCCACTTCTGTTATGCCTCTATTACCAGTGTTGACAAGTATTCTTCATTAATTTCTCCCTGAGACGCTAATCCATTACTCTTCATTGCAGATAGTGATGGACTGGAAATCAAGAACAAGGGTGACCATGACAAAATCCCCACAATGGAGAAGCTGAATAAATATCTTGAAAGTGGGAAAAGTTCTTATTCCACTTGCCATCAAAGAAATCCCATTGGGAAGAAACCCTATCAGTGCATGGAATGTGGAAAGAGATTCAGTCAAAAGGTCAATCTCACTTCCCATCAAAGAATTCATATAGGGGAGAAACCCTATGAGTGCGAGGAATGTGGAAAAAGCTTCAGGAATAGCTCAAAACTCAATCCCATCAAAGAATTCATACAGGGGAGAAGCCCTATCAGTGTGGGGAATGTGGAAAGAGCTTCACTCACAGCCACAATCTCACTTCCCATCAAAGAATTCATACAGGGGAGAAACCCTATCAGTGTGTGGAATGTGGAAAGAGCTTCACTGAAAGCTCCTCTCTCACTTCCCATCAAAGAATTCATACAGGGGAGAAACCCTATCAGTGTGTGGAATGTGGAAAGAGCTTCAGTCGGAGCTCCGATCTCACTTCCCATCAAAGAATTCATACAGGGGAGAAACCCTATCAGTGTGTGGAATGTGGAAAGAGCTTCACTGATAGCTCCACTCTCACTTACCATCAGAGAATTCATACAGGGGAGAAACCCTATCCATGTGTGGAATGTGGAAAGAGCTTCAGTAGGAGCTCCTCTCTCAGTTTCCATCAAATAATTCATACAGGGGAGAAACCCTATCAGTGTGTGGAATGTGGAAAGAGCTTCAGTCACAGCAGCAGTCTGACTCGCCATCACAGAATTCATACAGGGGAGAAACCCTATCAGTGTGTGGAATGTGGAAAGAGCTTCAGTTTTCAACCACCATCTCACTTCCCATCAGAGAATTCATACAGGGGAGAAACCCTATCAGTGTGTGGAATGTGGAAAGACCTTCAGTCAGAGCCACAATCTCACTTCCCATCAAAGAATTCATAGAGGGGAGAAACCCTATCAGTGTGTGGAATGTGGAAAGACCTTCAGTCAGAGCCACAATCTTACTTCCCATCAAAGAATTCATACAGGGGAGAAACCCTATCAGTGTGTGGAATGTGGAAAGAGCTTCACTCACAGCGACAATCTCACTTCCCATCAAAGAATTCATACAGGGGAGAAGCCCTATCAGTTTGGGGAATGTGAAAAGAGCTTCAGTACAAGCTCCTCTCTGAGTTCCCATCAAAGAATTCATACAGGGGAGAAACCCTATCAGTGTGTGGAATGTGGAAAGAGCTTCAGGAGGTGCTCGTCTCTCATACCACTGGTCCCGTTAGCTAGGGATGATGGGAGCTGTAGTCCCAAAACATCTGGAGCGCCGAGTTTGGGGATGCCTGTTCTAAAAGACCACGATACATTTTCCCGTGAGTGTTGGGTGGATTCCTGCAACAGTTTTAACAATTTATATATTCAACAAACATTTGCCACGTGTTATAAAAGGAATATGGATTGTGTTCCCTCACCTTCTTGATTTCCCTGGGCAAACAAAATTTAAGATACTTAAATTGTAGTGCCCAGAATTGAACACAATATTCTAGGTGGGTCCTGACCAAGGCAGAAGAAAGTGGTACTATTCCTGCCCTTGATCGGTTAACGGAGGTCTGCAATGAGATAATGGAGGGGAAAAGAGCGCCGGAAACGTGGAAAGAGGCCTACATCACACTTATACCGAAAAATGAATCTGAAAAGACACAACTTAAAAATTACCGCCCCATATCCCTACTTAACGTGGATTACAAAATCTTTGCTGACATTTTGGCTAAAAGACTGAAAAAAGTTTTGTCTGGATTGATACATAAGGACCAAGCTGGCTTTCTTCCAGGCAGATATATGTCAAACAACACAAGGAACTTGATTGACATTCTTGAAAAATTGCAAGTTAATATTAACACAAAAGCCGTTTTGATATTTATTTATGCGGAGAAAGCCTTTGACAACATTTCTTGGAGTTTTATGAAGAAAAATTTGCAAGGGATGGGGGTGGGAGAAAGGTTTGGAAATGGTATAAGTGCGATTTATTCAGAACAGAGGGCAAAACTAATAGTGAACAATGCAGTTACGGAGGAAGTTAAGATAGAGAAAGGGACACGACAAGGTTGCCCAATTTCCCCACCGCTTTTTATTTCAGTACTGGAGGTCTTGCTGAACATGATCAGAAGGGACCAACAGATTCAGGGTATACAGGTCGGAGCTAAACATTATAAACTTAAAGCATATGCAGATGACCTAGTCTTGACATTACAGGAGCCAATCCCTAGTACTAAGAGAGCTTTGGAAATAATACAAGAATTTGGTCAGACTGGCAGGATTTAAGTTGAATAAATCAAAAACCATGGTGTTGGAGAAGAATTTAACATCGAATGAAAAGGAAAGGTTTCAGGGAGAAACAGGTTTATCATTGGTGAAAAAAGTGAAATACCTAGGGGTAAATATGACTATTCCTGCCCTTGATCGGAATCTGCCTTCTGCCACATTGGCCTCCGCTCCCCGTTTGGTGTCGTCTGCAAATGTGATGAGCATCCCCTCAGTTCCTTCATCCAAGTCATTTATAAAGACGTTGTACAACAATGAGCCCAGTACTGAACCCTGCAGCACCCCTTTGGGTTCGGTCAGTCAAATCCACCTAACAGTTACCTCATTCAGCCAACATTTTACCAGGTTCCTCACATAAATATCACGGGCAACTATTTCCACAGCAGTCCGCTGATCAACAAACTTTCTAACTCCATCCAAAAAGAAAAAAGAAAAAGAGAGATTTCTCTGGCTTGACGTGTTTTTGAGAAAGCCATGTTTTCAATTTGTATGTTTATGTTCTGAAACACCGTGAAATCAGATAAAGGGCACATAATTTTTTTAAATGATGATGATAATAAGGATATTGACAAGCCGAAACATATGCAAATGAAGGCGATCAAGATGGTCTTGCTTTATTTATGCATTTATTTAATTTCTATAGCGCCCTATACCTGGGGTGCCAACTTGAATAAAATATAGAAGGGGTTTAGTAAGCCCCTCCTCGCTTAATCAATACATGATGTGGGGCATGCATGCCATTTGAATGGCAATGCCTATCAACTGGGGGGGTGCCCCCCTCAAATATTTTATGAAGGGGCAAAGACCCCTCATCCTCTAAAAGTTGGCTCCTGTTCCCTGCTGTTGCATTCTGAAGGCAAAGGACGGACTGGACCCTGATTAATACAATAGACACGTGGCTTGACCAGCAAGACCCTGGGAGAAAGTGCGCATTCCACTTCCTGGCCCAGGTCGTTTTTATTAACAAAAGAACTTTAACACAGCGTTTGTAAGAACCAATCAGATTTCCTCTGAGCATTTCAAAAAATCCTCACGTGGGGACAAAGTCAGATCAGAGGAAGCCTCTTAACTACAAAGAACTATTTACTATTTGAGCATGCATACATGTTCAGGCTAAATAAACAGGAACCAAGGAGGAATTAACAAACCCCGGTGGTAATAAACCCAGCAGTAAAAGGAAAGACAGGCATTTTACCACATCCATGTGAACTCTGTTCCTGGCCCTGAGATCTACCTAAAGATTAACAGAAGCTACATCAAAGCTACCTCCCTATTTTTATGTACCCAGGAGGCCTGGTAAGCAACTGATCTGTGTTAGAATGCTTTACACGTGACTGACAGACATAGAGAAAATGGGGCAGAGATGCAGAGGCTTGTGGGATTGATCAGAAATCAAGTCAATGACCCAAACCCAGTCAAAGTGATGCTTTCACCATTGACACAGTAGCTTGCTTCATTTTTCATAATTCCTCATAGCAATCCCACATGACCAGACACCTACACCCACAGTTTTAGAATGGTTTCAACATAAAATCACAATATGAAAACACAAAACCTGTAACCCCCACCTCCCCTGGCAAACAAAAGTTGAGATTCTTAAATTGTGGTGCCCAGAATTGAACACAGTATTTATTCTATGTGGGGTCTGACCAAGGCAGAAGAAAGTGGTACTATTCCTGCCCTTGATCTGATTCTGACTTCTGCCACATTGGCCTCCGCTCCCTGTTTGGTGTCGTCTGCAAATGGGATGAGCATCCCCTCAGTTCCTTCATCCAAGTCATTTATAAAGACGTTGAACAACAACGGGCCCAGGACAGAACCCTGCAGCACCCCTCTGGTCACTTTTCCCCAGGATGAGGAGGAACCATGGAGGAGGACAATTTGGGTTCGGTCAGTCAAATCCACCAGTTACCTCATTCAGCCCACATTTTACCAGCTTCCTCACATAAATGTCGCAGAGGACTTTGTCAAAAGCCTTACTGAAATTGAGATGCAGTATTTTCACAGCAGTCCCCTGATCAACAAAGTTTGTAACTGCATCCAAAAAAGAAATGAAAAAGAGAGATTTATCGGGCTTAACTTGTTTTTGAGAAAGCCCTGCGTTCAACCTGTCTGTTTTTGTTGTGAAACACCATGAAATCCTCAGATGATGGGCACATAATTTTTTTTTAATGATGATAATACAAAGGATATTGTCAAGCTGGAACATGTGCAGATGAAGGCGATCAAGATGGTGTTATTATATTTATTTCATTTCTATAGCACCCTATAGCAGGGCTGCCAACTTGAATAAAATATAGGAGGGGTTTAGTAAGCCCCACCTCGGTTAAACAGTCACAGGATGCGGTGCAAGCATGCCATTTGAATGGCTGTTCCTATGAACTGGGGGGGTGGCCCCCTCACATATCTTATTGGGGGGCAAAGAGCCCTCAGACCCTAAGAGTTGGCTCCCATTCCCTACACCCACAGGTCACAGGACGGTTACAACATAAAATCACACAATGAAAACACAAAACACACAGCCCAAAACCTGTAACCCCCACCTCCCCACCACATTGTAAAAGGGCAATAGATGTCCATCAGCCAAAGGCCTGTTTAAAGTGGTGTGTTTTTATCTAGCGCTGAAAGTTGTATAATGAAGGGTTTTCCACTCTTCGTATGAATCCTTTGATGGGAACTGAGATTGGAGCTCTTCCTGAAGCTCTTTCCACATTCCACACACTGATAGGGTTTCTCCCCTGTATGAATTCTTTGATGGGAAGTGAGAATGGAGCTCTGATTGAAGCTCTTTCCACATTCCACGCACTGATAGGGTTTCTCCCCTGTATGAATTCTTTGATGGGAAATGAGATTGGAGCTCGTACTGAAGCTCTTTCCACATTCAAAGCATTGATAGGGTTTCTTCCCTGTATGAATTACTTGATGGGAAGTGAGACTGTGGCTGTGACTGAAGCTCTTTCCACATTCCACGCACTGATATTGTTTCACCCCTGTATGAATTCTTTGATGGGAAGTGAGACTGTGGCTGTGACAGAAGCTCTTTCCACATTCAAAGCACTGATAGGGTTTCTTCCCTGTATGAATTACTTGATGGGAAGTGAGACGGTGGCTGTGACTGAAGCTCTTTCCACATTCCACACACTGATAGGGTTTCTCCCCTGTATGAATTCTTTGATGGGAAGTGAGAGAAGAGCTCTTCATGAAGCTCTTTCCACATTCCACACACTGATAGGGTTTCTCCCCTGTATGAATTCTCCGATGGGAAGTGAGACCGGCGCTCTGACTGAAGCTCTTTCCACATTCCACACACTGATAGGGTTTCTCCCCTGTATGAATTCTCTGATGGGAAGTGAGATTGGCGCTCCGACTGAAGCTCTTTCCACATTCCACACACTGATAGGGTTTCTCCCCTGTATGACTTCTTTGATGGAAAGTGAGACTGGAGCTCTGACTGAAGCTCTTTCCACATTCCACACACTGATAGGGTTTTTCCCCTTTATGAATTGTTTGATGGGAAGTGAGTTTGAAGCTCTGACTGAAGCTTTTCCCACATTCCACACACTGATAGGGTTTCTCCCGTGTATGAATTCTCTGATGGGAAGTGAGATTGGCGCTCTGACTGAAGGTCTTTCCACATTCCCCACACTGATAGGGTTTCTCCCCTGTATGAATTCTCTGATGGGAAGTGAGATGGGAGCTCTGATTGAAGCTCTTTCCACATTCCACACACTGATAGGGTTTCTCCCCTGTATGAATTCTCTGATGGGAATTGAGATTGTGGCTGTGACTGAAGCTCTTTCCACATTCCACACACTGATAGGATTTCTCCCCTGTATGAATTCTCTGATGGGAATTGAGATGGTGGCTGTGACTGAAGCTCTTTCCACATTCCACACACTGATAGGATTTCTCCCCTGTATGAATTCTCTGATGGGAATTGAGATGGTGGCTGTG